TCACCATCGCTCCTCTCCTTGAGCTTTACCCTCCTCCTGCCAAACGGTCTAACAAAAATTTTCAGTGAGGATCAAGGTAGATTGTTTTAAGCGTAAGTCACAGATTATTATTAACTCCTGTAAGTTTTTTATTAATTTTTTTTTAAGCAAAATCGTTTCAACTATGCCGTTTCTGTAAATGAAATAACAAAGCTGGTTATAAGTTTACTTTCACATTCATTAGCGGAAAACCGAAAAAGCCTCTGAATTTATTCACCTGCACTTTTATGTCTCATCTAAAAATATTGATTTGTTACTTTTCTAGCGTTAATGTTTTCGCCTTTGACAGTGTTTTTGTTTTATCTAATAGCGCTAAGAAGCAACTTGCTTCCCCAATGTAAAAAATAACATGGAAGGTCGGTATTAACAAATAAAAGTAATTCTTCATCTTGATTCAAACATCAGCAATCAAGATCGTTGTCATTATGTTATATAGGGGAATCCTTGTTTGCAATATTTACCTCATTAGCATAAGCAATTCAGTTTCTGATGGAGCTAAAAATAAATCAGTTCTGAATATCGAAAGGTCAAAGTACGATTAACTCGGCCAAAGAATACGAGCCTGATGCATTGAATACTTTTTGTGCAACACGGGTTTAAAAACTCAAAATTTTACATAGAATGTATGAGCTCATTAGCGCTTTTGCCACCCAGAAATTTTGCAGTTTTTGATGGACTATTTCTCCTTGAATATTACACCCAAAGAGCTAAAAATTTCACCATGTACTAAGGTTTTCTAGCTCTTTAGCTGCCTGAAGTCAATTTGTATCTAACATGCTTCCTTCTTTACGGCAAAGCCGTATGCAAATGAGCAAAATGTTAACAATGACGTCAGCATGAATCCGCCTATAAAGGCAACCTTTTTTAAATGACAAAGGTTGCAAAATTGTTCAAAGATGAATCACAGCGGAAGCGTGTAATGATGCCATAGTAATAATTCGTCATCGAAAACTGCGCGACACCGGCCGAAAATAAAAAAAATTCAATAAAATTGGGTACAGCGAGGGGCGTCTGCTGAGAACCTCAGTTGAAAACTTAATACCGGTAATTGTTTCTCTTGTCCGTCTACGCAACAAAACAGTTTCCTTAAAAACAGATAACCACATTTAAAATTGACTTTCTGAAGGCTTTTCCCTCGTTAAGATGTTTTAATTTTCCCCACAGATCTTTGCATCTTTTCGATGGTAAACTAATTTTGGCGAACTCCATTTATCAATATTTCTCAACAAATACAGGGACGTTAATCAAAGTGTTTTTCAGGTTGAGATGGTCTCCTCTCCAGGCGTGATTCAAGAGCCAACACGTAAGTGTTGCAAATCAACTTTAACAAGTACGCATTTTTAATAGATGCTTCACGCTAAACTCAGTCGGCAGCTTCTCTACAGTTTGTTCATCGATATTCAGTCCATCAGCCAGACTGAAATTTACAGTCCCCATTCACTTTTGAGTACAAATTTAGTATGTAACAGCTCGCGGATACCTTTGGATCGCGCGGCGAAAATTGCTTAAAGAAGTGATCATGGGATAAGCGCTCATTTGGAATCTGACAAACTCAAAGTGGATAATATGACATCCGTATACTGCGTTGACTGATCGTGTAAACAACTTCTTTTCTTACTCTCATGTTGAAAAAATTAATTCTAAAAATTTCACGGCGTTTTCCAAAGATCTCAACAATGGTAACCGTTTTTAAGGTCCGAGATGTATTTTTATCAGTTCTGAACAATTCATGGTCACCAAGGGGTATTCTTGAGATGCCGAAGAACTTTTTCCTCAAAAGACATCAACAACCTTCTCTATCAGATTGGCTTAGCTTATAACACACCCTACAATGTCATGACCGTAAACTTTTGCATCAAAAGAAACGTCTCTAATAAATATTGCAACAAGTAAAAGAAGGAGTAGCAAGGAAAGAAGTGATCATGGGTAGGATGCTAGTCTGTAGCAGGTAACCCCCCACCCCACCCCCACACTTCAGCAGGTTTCTCTGACGGCTCGCCGTTGCCCTTTTTGTGCTCCTTGGGGAAGGGAGGGAGCATTTACACTGTGAAATTCAGATATCTCTTCCAAAGACACAGCATTATGACTAGGAGGGCCTCAAATCCCAACGCTCAGACTCCAGTTCACTGACTCGCATTTGAAGTTTATGTTTGGTTATTTGATAATTTCAGCTCCTAGTCCTGTGGTTAGTTGGCTTCACTTTACGCCTCAGTGGTGTACCACAGCAGGAAGGTCTGCAAACAGGCTCGCCAGTGGAAAAACAGCAGACGAGTGCAAAGAGATGTGTGAAGAGAACTGTTTGGGAGTAGAGTGGTGGGAGGGATCTAAATCATGTTACAAATGTACCGATCCTTCCAAGAAGGTGGCATATACCAACACAAATGATAAACGCTACCCACCTCACGTGTTTCTAAAGAGTCAAAATTCTTGAATTAACAGGTTAATTCACGTTTGGCAGCTGTAATGGCTGCCACCCGGGTGATACTTGTCAGTATTACACGCCTCCGCGGGTACATCTGTTCTTATCAGTCCTTACAAGTCTTTCAACATCTCCAAAGTTTAGAACCTTGATCTTACTCCGCGAAATCTTAACTAAAAACAACAAGGCCATATACATTGACGGAGGAAAAGCTCACTTTTGTTAATAAAAAAATCGGTCAGTCAACCTCACCGACTTATGCTCAAAGCATTTTAGATATTTACAAGTTTTATTTGTAATGCATGCTTCTTTAGGTTGCTACAAGTTCTCTTGGACTTTGAACCGCGCTTCTTGACAGACAACAATGTGTATGAAACCCGAACATGTATTAAAAACTCAAAAACATTTTCGTATTTTAAATATCTGAATTTTATTTTCTACTTTCTCCAACATATCTGCATGTCAGGGGCAAGAACTGCGTGTCAGTGGTTATTTCATTTTTTTCTGTGTACTTCAGCTCCTTCTTGCTGTATTTTCCGTCAACAGATGACTATTCTTTCGCATGTAAAGAGCGACCGCAACTTCTCACCCGAGATGAGTTGCATTTGTGACTTTTAGTGTTGCTTTAGTGGAGAAAACGTCCGCAGTCACCAATGACCACGCAGAGTATGACAACGGGCTAAATAGCATCTCTGCTAAATGTGATAAAGACCCGTTCTCTCGAGATAAGTGAACACGCTCAGTCGGATTTGTCATTTGGCTTGCTTAAAAAGTCCAACGATGGAGCGATTGGAAAGATATATAGATGTTAGTTCTCCCAGGATTCAGGAGTCGGGCTTGGGTAAGTAGTGAGATTTGAAACCCAAAACACTTGGCGAGCATTGAGTACTAGCAAACAAGGATTTATCAGGTAGCTCTTAGTAACGCAGAACAGGAGCTGGGGAAAATTCCTAAGAGCTACTCCATGACAGGTCTGACAGCCAGCACTCGTTACTGTATGTCAGAGGTACAAAGTGCCTCTTTCACCTCCTCATTGTGCGATAACTTAAAAATCTACTTGAAGTGCGAGATAAAATCCTGGACAATGCAAATAACTAAAATGGGGGTTGAAGTGTCAAACCTCTGAGCAGATTTCATCATGGGGATTCATCAGCATAGTATGCACGACTGTACATTGAATATGAATATGTATGTTAATAAACGTGAAGTTGAAGTGAAATCTGATCAAAGGTTAAAGGTCGTTGTCAGTTGAGATTTTATAACCGGTGTATGGGGCCGAGAGACTTTACAATGTTTACAAGGGTTATGTAACAGACGAAGTAATTTTAGAAATATTGACCACTGTAACTTCTTGTAATCCATTCAAACTAAAATACTTCTCAGCATCACGTTTGATGCAAAAACTGGTCAGAAATGTGCATGTGTGAGTAATTGGATTTCAATGAAAGAATTCACAATGAGATGTTCAGTACCACGAAGAAACCCAACTCACAATGATACAAATATTTATAGATTTGTAATTTTGCAAAAACTTGTAATCAGGGTGGTATGATGTCTATAGCGATGCTATTCTCAAGAAACTTAAGTTACTTAAATTTCACGACATTCATCTGGTATAGCTAGGTCAATTGATGTTCTCATTCGAAAAATCTATCCCCTCGAAAATTTGAAAATGTATTCATGAAAAACAACCAAATCTACAGTAAGACGCAAGGCACGCATACTCCTTTCGTCCCGCCATTATGTGGAACAAAATAATATTCGGCAGTTTTTCGTTTTCTATCATGGTCTAAAGATTGTTTTAAAGGGTACCTAAGCTTACAAGCTTGATGATGATTTTCATTAGGTTTCCTCTCCATTAATCTTTTTTTCTGTTGATTTTTGATTKWTKTTTTGTGTGTTTTGGTTTTTTCTCTACGATTTAAAAAAAATAAATGAAAAAAAAATTAGAGCTAACGTCTGATGAAAATTAAACAAATTTTAGATCGCTTAAAACCACGCAACTGAAGTAAGATGTGATGGTTGTGAACATTCTGCGGGGTTTCATTGAGTAAGAATTAAAAATTATTTGCTGATTTGCGAGGCGGAGTTTTCATCCACACCCTCAAGGTGGAGACTTTGATGAACCATACATAAATTGAAATTCCGTTGAAATCGGAGTTTCTTGAGTTCAATCAGTTTTAGTCAGAGAGCCTTAGCCAGACTAAAACGTTTTGGTTTCATTTAAGAAATGGTGTGTCGGCTTGGAATTCCTTACGTATGTTGTTGATCCGGCAAAACATGGGTAAAATCTATAAAGCGATGGATCAGTGGTCGCATTTTGGCTTGGCCTATAATGCACCCCTTCTTACCTTAGTTTTTCTTTCTTTTGGCTCTCGTTTCTTTATTTTTGATTACGGGATAATTGTAAAGATCAGTAAATCAGTGGATCAACGAACCCCGCCCTCACTCCGCCCCTCAGCGTGCAACTTGAGTAGAGTAGGTCGCAGTCTCCCTATTGTTAAATCCGAGTAGACTGGAAATAACATAGTGACTACAAACGATTCAAAAACTCGGAAGTTCATTGAAAATTAATAATCGCGGAAAATGGAACGGGTAATTCTGGAAACATAAACTCAGAAATGGCTTATGTCATAGATGCGTTTTCTTTCCTCAACAGGAAATTCAAAATATTCATTTTCCTAATTCTCGGAACCATTTTAGTCGGTAAGTTTAAGCGATTCTTTTTGAAAACTTACGTAGCTTGTGTTGACTGCTTGGTATTGAAAGGCACACGTGTAAAAAGTATTTGCCCGTCTTCTCTTGACTTCCTCAAACATGCAAGGTGATCAGTGTTTTTTTTTTTTTGTCTTCTTTCTTAGTAAGCTGGGCCACAGTGAATCGTAATAGAAGTATTGTAGCAAATGAGGCAAGGTGAGCCCTAAGCACTTGTTATGACGTACCGATGGTACCAGGTCGATACTGCTCTAGTGATGAGCCGATAATAATGTTTCGATTCACTCTACATGTGAAACCGAAGTTTGAGATGAAGCTTAAACTTAGAAATTGATATGAAAGAGCGTTAACTTCACTAGAGATCCGTGGCCTGTTGTTAAGATTGTGGTAACTCGCGCTTAAACCAGAGGAAGCATTGTGTTGTTAATTTTATGTTATCTTCCGAACGTTGTACTTGTTCCAGCTCATTGATCAGGTTATCTCTGGGCAGATTTAGTTGACTGAAGTTACAAACATTTAAAACTATTAGAGTCTGTAACGTAAATATGATTAGTTATTTAAAAAAAATAGTCTGGAGGGGCAGCTTACTGCTCTTAGATATATCTTGAAGCTGATGTAATTTATTATTCTCCTGGGGTCTCTGTCGCAATGTCATTTGGCGTGAAAATATTCAGGATATCTGTCAATGGACAGTATTTGTTCCGAGATGCAAAATAGCTTTACAAGAGAGAAGCTTGAAGAAAATTTTGAGCACGAGGAACAGATGATATGTCCATGGACAAAATATACAAATATATTTCCACACCAAATGATTTGATCAGGTGATGTATTTAGACCAATTGCATGCAAGCAAAAAATATTTGGTTAGATTGTAAATGCTGGTATGTTGGTATAGACTTAGTGTATGCAACAAGTCAGCATCTGTCACAAACTTCAATCATTATGCAGTGCTCAAACTCAAGGAATACTCTCTACAGACCAAGAACTATGGATCATGAATAATGTATTTTGGACTAAGTTTGGAATACACATTGCAGCCTATGGGCAGTAGTTTTCCCTTTTATGCCCAGCCACAAATGGCTATTCATACCCCTTAGCAAATAGTAAATATATGTTGGAGAATACTCCCAGGTTGCTTACCTTTCACTCAATAGAGAACTACTTCCAACTTTTATATATTAAGCTTCTGTTTACTTGGCAACTATGAATGGTAACAAGCTTTTACATTTAGTAAAAAGAATTTGTGTTTGTTGCTCTTCTAGGATATCCCAAAGAATGCTTGATGATTTCAAGGAAAATTTACAAAAATATAATATAGAAGTAAGAAAGAATTTAGGATGTTTTTTAAAACTAATGAATTGCTATGTAGGATATTCTATCAGATGGACCAGCAGAGCCTGATTTTTTTCTCCACTGTAGCTGGACGTTGCAGTTAAAACCTGACTTGATCTCAAATACGTTCTAACCTTCGCTTTATATTGGAATATCACCACAAAAATTGATGAATAATAAGTAGATCAGGGTACTAGATGCAAGCGGAACAGATGGTCGCACCCTTTATGTACAAACTTGTTTCTTCCAGACTTTTGTTCATGTATGGCAGGCTGCCGGAAAATCTTTGGAAAACATTGTATCATGTTATGATGTTTAATTGACTTTTTATTTTTTCAATTAATAACTTTCTTTTTTTAATAATTGATATATCTTCTTTTCAGACATTTAATGAGAAACTAAAGCCAATTGAATTAAGAATTACAAATTTGGAAAGCAAGTATGTTACATTTGATTTTAATGTAATGAGCACAACAAATGATTGTTTATTTTACTCTCTGTGATAATAACTGTTCATTTAATCAATATGTATCCTTAAAAATAATGATATTTTTCTTTTCTCACAAACAGGGAAAGAAAATATCCTCCAGTGAAATATTTATCTGAAAAAGATCGTAAGAGAATATTAGTAAGTCTTCTAATGTTCTTTTTTGGCTGTAGACCTGACTATTATCGTGAGATGACTTACAAAATAACTGAGATACTAAATAAAAAATGTATTGTTTATTTTGCAAGTGAACCCATAGAAAGTTGAAAAATTATAAGTTCATTTTGTGAAGGTTACAGTAGACTGCATTTTTTCATTAGTTGACTGGCATAATAGTAGCATAACATAGTAACTCGTGTTCACCCAACATCCTGTGTGGGTTATTTTGGTAGTAAGCCAGTAGAAAGGGTGGGTGTTGCTTAAGAGACTAATGAACTATGAATGAAGTCAATTTCAATGCTGTAAACTGTAAAATGATGCTCCAACTTAAAGATTTCATGAACACACTCCACTAAAATCACTGTAGATGTTGAGAGTGAAGCTGATTAACAAAATTAATGTTAAAATTGAATTCACCAAAATTAAAATCCCTATTGGTCTGATTTTAAACTTGTTTAGAAGGCTGTTTCTGTCTAATGTAAATTTTGTTATTCAACTTGGCAGAGGTGATTGCTCTTACTATGTGAACTGTAGAAATACATTGAAATGATGAGTTATTGAGTAAATTCACAGTGCTTTTATGTTGTACAATGTACTGGTAGCTCCCACCAATAATGTAAGCCTACCCACTTGTTATTTTTAGAGACAAAATTAACCAATGGGTAGCATTTAGAGTCAAGAATCCAGCCTTAATTCAGGAGTATCCAACTGTTGCCTTGTTCGTAATATTTACTTAAATCATTGAAATTTAGGAAATGTATTTTTAATTATTTGTCTAAATTTATGTTGAATTTTGCCAGGTGACAGGTGGAGCAGGATTTGTTGGATCTCATCTGGTTGATGCATTGCTCATGGCAGGCCATGAGGTGAACAACCTTATTTAAGATGTACAGGTGTAAATACCACTTGCTACTTGAATTGTAGGTCTTTCCAATACACCATGGACCGAGGGTTTTTCTGGCCAAACAGAAGGGCTTCAAATGACTGGTCAAATACAAAGCAAAACAGTTTGCAATTGTTTCATAGACATTGGTGCATTGCAAAAAAAAATATAAAAAAAATTCATTTTTTGTTGGAAAGTTAAAAACAAATGAGAATAATTAACAATGGATTTTAGCCAGAAGAGAAGCTTTGAAGTTAAGCAAGTTCCACAGCAGAGTGTAGCCTGCAGGTGCTGCAGCAATGTCAAGACAAAGGAACTAGTTTGAACTACATACTAGCAACCACAAAACATGATGCAATCCAAAATGATAGCAAGCTTGAAATTCAAGCACTAGAATTGTTTTTATTTGTTAACAGAATTTATACTTTGGTCCCTGTGTCTATATTACTAATATTTGATTTGAGTAATCTTGATTTTCTTCATTTTAACTGCACTTGTTGTTCTGAATGAAATTAATTTCAAACTAGCACATACATGTATTCTTGGTAGGTTTATCCCCATATTACCCCTTCTGATAATCCAGTTTTTTTAATTTTATATTTTTTAATATTGAAGTTTTTAACAATCAGTTTCACCTGCATTATATGCATTATTTTGTTTTTGTTTTTTGTTTTATTCATGGCAGGTCACTGTTGTAGATAATTTTTTCACAGGAAGAAAACGAAACATTGAGCATTGGTAAGAATACAAACTCAGTTATTTTAGATGAGATCTTAGGACTAGGTGGCACCATAGTCTATTTTATTATCTTCTGAGTTATCATTGTCACCACTGAGGATGTGTAATCAGTCTTGCCTCGTCTTAATGTAATAGTCATTACAAGATTTTGTGGTGTTTGAGCCAGGGGGAAGCAATGTGCCAAAGTCTATCTACAACTTAAACTATTTGCCTTGAAATGACCAAGAGGACTTTAAATCCAATTCAAATTTTTTGGGGCAAGATCACTAGAAAGCTTACTGAAAGAGATGTATTGGAAACAAACATCACAAGCTGAAATAGTAGCATTGGATAGAATTTTGTTGTCTGTATACCTTAAAAGCTCATTTTAGACTATTCTGACTAGTGTCACAGCTGCTATTAGGACCAGGATACCACTTTGCCACCCTAGCTTAATGAACAGATCTAAAAAATGTGAAATGTAATGAAGTCATTGTTCTTATAACTGTTCAACAGGGACTAGAAAAAATTGTATCTACACTGGTTAACCCTTAAAAGAATGAGAGTCATTGTTTCAAAAATGCAATCTGACTTTCCTTTATCTCTTCTTCAATCACTCCACTTTCAGAGAAGAAACTTAAAAACAACATTATCTCCCCCCCCTAATTTTAGTTCTGAGAACAACCCCCCCCCCATTGATCAAATCCCAGCTTACAGCCTGACTTTATGATTGGTGGTTATTCATGTATTGCAGACAGTTTTGCATTTACCAACACTGCTGCTCATTCAGCCAAAACTAACATATTAAAAGAAGTACTGTTTCTAAGTTAACTTGAAATGTTAAGTTGTATTTTCACGTGGACTTTATTTTATCTTGTAGGATTGGACATGAAAATTTTGAACTTTTAAATCATGATGTAGTGGAACCAGTTCTATTAGAAGGTGGGTTAGTCAGAAATCTGTCACGGTCTACTTTGAATTGATTCCTGAAGTTAGAGACTGTATTAATTATACTATAGGGAAAACTTGAGATTTATTTATTATTTCTGCTCTATAATTGTGACCTATAGCAAGACACCTCCCAAAAACATATTGCCAACTCAGAATAATTTTTTTAGCATATGCAAGAATTATGGAATTAAAAGATTATTGTCAAACATGACAAAGGTAGTACCAAGAGTGGAGCTAATACATACATACATACTTAGGTTAATACATACATAGGTTAATTGACCACTCCCCCATAGGGGCTTTTCAGGGCCAACACCCACCCATCCCACCCAGGGGAGGACATCCACCACACAGTAATCTCGTGTGTGGGAAATTAACGTCTCCTACCCCTAACCCTGCAGGAGACGGGGCTTACGGTTTATTCGTTCTTATCCGAGAAGACTAGAATATCTATCCATTTCTTGATTATAGAAAGGTGGCAAATTCTCCCCACTTATTTTAAGACCATGAGTATTGGTCCAATAAGGAGAGTCAGCTAGAAAGGAGTGAAAAATGCTAATTATTGTAGTATAACTAACAAATGGTAAACACCACAGCTACACTATTGAGTTATAGATACAAGCAGGAGGTTGCTAAGCACAAAAGAAGTAAGAGTGGCTCGAGGTGATAGCCGAGAGCGACTCTAGCTTCTTGAGTGCTTAGCAAACCTCCCAAGTGCATCCATAACTCAATAGTGTATGCTGTGGTGTTTACCATTTGTTTTATAACATAACATTGATACATTGTAGCTAAAGAGTTCCCTTTTATTTAACAAATCTTACGTGAGCAGAAAAAAACAAGCGCGCATGGAAAGATGGTCTTTCCGTTTGCTCACTTCAGCAGCGTACACCCATGGCAAAGGGGGGATGCTAAATTGACCAATCAGAGTGCGTACTTTACTTTGGTTATGTTATAAGATGATTTGGTTTTATCAACAAAGTTGGTACTTAAATTGGCCACAGTAAAGAATTTCTTAGCTAAGATACTCTTTACTGTGGCTAATTTACATTATCAACTCAGTTGAGAAATTCAAATAATCTTGTCATACTCCCCCACTGACACAGTGACACAGTTTCTTTGGAAACCTACCCCTTTTATTCAATTGTTGTGATGGTGTAGTCTAATTGTGTGGTTGAGTGTAGTCCTGAGAAGGACTGTTGTTTGTAGTGGTGAATAATGTTTCTACAACATGAGGGGAATTCATCATCAAAGTTAAGTGAAAAGCTGTTGTCAGATGAATGGACTAAATTTGCACAGGTTACCCAGGGTTCAAACCATTTACAATACTGTAAGCTAGTTATTATCACAAAAGTACAAAAAAAAAAAGAAAAAGGAAAAGAAAAAGTTTAACAAAATGTGAAGTGCTAATTGAAAGTAAATTGATATGAGTTCTTTAGCATAACTGTGATCTTCTAGAAAGCAAGAATGTACTAAGTAAGCAAGTCAGAGTAGCAGGATACTTAGTGTAAGAGATCACCACTTATCCCATCAGGTTACTGTTAACTCTTTCACTTCCAACAGTGATCATTTGATATATTCGCCTTTCAGTTTTAACACACTGTTGAGCAGAAAGGTAGTGAGAACTAAAAAAATGATCATACAGTGGATGTCTTGCAATTATCAAGAAACTGACCTAAAAAGAAATTTATAGGCACCAGTTAGGAGAATTTGTTTTTGATGCTTTTGATCTCAGAAGTGAAATGGAGAGTAAAAACTGAGGTTGAACATGCAGGAACATTTTATTTTTATTCAGTTGACCAGATTTATCATCTGGCATCACCAGCATCACCTCCAAACTATATGTACAATCCCATTAAGGTAAGATCTCCTTCTTTAAATTTAAAAGTCTTCTATACTCTCATGACTCTCACAGTTTTTTCCTGTTACCACAGTCTGCATTATTTTTATGCCATTGTTGAGCCAATTCACATTCAAGCTATGCAAAAGGTTAACTGCATCAATTTTCATTCCCGCATACTTCATAAATTCCTCTATAGTATAGGTTTGACGGGCTCCATGTTTTGTAAATTTGCATCACTAAAGATTTTGGAAGTCATTGCATTATTGCTGTATGATAACACATGATCCAAGGAACAGGTGACATGGGGCAAGGAGGTAAGGGTAGGAGCCTGGGCTACACAATCCCCCTTCTCATCCCAGGGTAAATTTTACATCCCCCTTCTCATCCCAAAACACAACAAAACATCACGCACACGCACACGCACACGCACACGCACACGCACACGCACACGTCAGATCACATCATACAGACATATTTTGAGAAGGCTTTCCACTGATGGAGGCTTGTTTTGCATTTCTATGATAGACAATAAAAACAAATACCTTGGGGACTCTCAATATGCTTGGTAAGGTTTATGATAATTGATGAATTATTTGCAGAAGTACATTATTACTTTATAGATTTGATTCATAGTCTGCATGTCTAGGATAAACAGCCTTAGCAAACTAATCAGTCTTTCTTCAGAGAAATTGTGCACAAAACAGATGTATAAAATTGGGATTTTTTTGGGCTCTTGCTTTTGGTTTTGCAGGGAGTTTTCAAAAATTTGGTGACTCATTATGACTTGGCCAGGACTAAACATTGATCCTTGCCTTTAAGGTACATTCTGACCATCAAATCAAATTGGCCCATGCACAATGAAACAGAATAAGTATGATGCACGATCCTCGCAGTAGAGAGCGCTATTTATGCAATAGCGAAAATCAGACCTGAAAAAAGTCAGGCCTGTACGGGATTCGAACCACTGACCTCAGTGGTTCGAATCCCGTACAGGCCTGATTTTTTTTCAGGTCTGATTTTCGCTATTGCATAAATAGCGCTCTCTACTGCGAGGAACGTGTATCATACATATCTACAACCGCAGTTCAAAATATATATGAACTTCATATATTCATTGTACCTGAAACAGAATAAGTCAAAGATACTTTTTTGTACCTCCCCAATCACCTGTTGGGAAAAAAAACGCGACTTTTTTTGACTGGACAAATTACGGCCTAGTGTGTTTGTATCAATTAAACAGACTACTGTTTTATATTCTATGAAAGGTCTGGCTAAGAGAGTACATGCGAGACTTTTATTGGCCTCAACATCAGAGGTTTATGGAGGTATGGATATGTTTTCGCTCAATCTGCTTAATCGCTATAATTGTGTACGCATACTCAAATTTAAACACGCGCATCGACCAAAGAGAGGGAGTGTAGTCTGTCAATTATTTTATTAAGAGTCATGTTAAATTTCAACATCTGGCTTACGAGTTCATTGTATTTTGTTTTTCATGTTTCGTCTCTTGTTTGGTTTTTAGATCCAGAGGTATGTCATGCATTTTATTTACAGAATTTATGTTCGCGAAGTTTTGATCACAGCTCACGATCTTTTGTTTTGTTCTCTATCTTTACTCAAGGAACATCCCCAGCGAGAGGAGTACTGGGGACATGTCAACCCCATTGGACCTCGAGCGTGTTACGACGAAGGCAAACGTGTTGCTGAGACAATGTGTTACGCATACGCTAAACAGGTACACACTTAACATAGCAATTGTCAATTAAGTGTCCAAGGTAACCCGGGATTGCTCTGGTTTTACTTAACTTTGCTCTGTGATTGGTCCAGAAAATTCGCTCCCCTCGTCCAATCAGATTCAGGATTAAACACCAATCGCGACTTGGTCAGGCGCGTTTTCCCGCGCTTTTGGATATTTTGCTCTTATTAACTTTGGATTCTAAGTGGTTCTTCGTAGTATTTTCCCTATTTATGATTATTTACGTTTCATTCTGTGACATTCAGTCGAAATGTGCTCTATAGATACTGACTTGATATATTAACTCTGGGAAACGCAAGGCGACAAGTTACTACGAGAGGATATCTTGGTCAAACTGATCCAATTGTCAAAACAAATCTCAGCGTCTCACCATTTTCTCCCTGTGACTATTCGCTTCCTGGTCAAATTTCTGTCAAGGAGAAAGATGTTCATAAAATTTCTCTATCCCGCACGAAACGTGGGAATTGTTGCTCTGAATGATTTCCGCGTCGTTTCGCAGTCACTCGTGTTCCAAAGGTGAAGCTAAATGTAGCAAAATTTGTAAAGCATTGCTTTTTAGCTGTGTGAGAAAGTAATTCGGGATTAAAATGGTTTTGATTTACTTCGCTCTGCGATGGGTCAAAAAAATCTCATTTCACTTTTTCAGTCTCTGTTATTTTCATTTTAGGATCATGTTGAAGTACGTGTGGCCAGAATATTTAACACATTTGGACCCAGAATGCACATGAATGACGGTAAGCTACGGTGATATCTCCCATTCAAGACAAAATGTAGACACGAGATCAATTTGGTGTGTTTTCCTTCACAACAGGTCGCGTCGTTAGTAACTTCATCATGCAAGCTTTAGAAGGGAAGCCACTAACGGTGAGAAAAACATGAGTTAAGTGATTTAGAAAATGGATAATGGAAAAGGGTAACCAGGCCTTATTCAGAGCAACATCCACATCGATTTGATGAGGATGGGTGTCGCTACTTAGGTAATTTAAACTCTTTCTGTTGATTGCTGAAGTTACCCTATTTTCTCTCAACCAGGTTTATGGAAGTGGAAAGCAGACAAGGTCGTTTCAGTATATCAGGTTAGTAAAATGCCGGATAAGGTGGAGATCGTGTCTGCACAAAATGCCAATAAAATTCATACACATAACCCACGTAGGAGGCACGCCGAGGTTAGACTCCATAATAAGGCAGATGTCTTTGCCCACGTGCTTCCTTCTAAAATGACCCACCGACGCTTATCTGAGTGCCCTTTGTGGAGGCTAATTTTGTTGTACCACACTCTTACAAGCCAAATTTCACTACGCCTTTAATGCATGCGACTCTGGAAAAGTTCTTCACCTTACGCTTATTGATGAAAACCTAACGCCTAGCTGAAAAGTTTGAACTAAGGAGGTCTTAGGTGACACATCTTTAGTAACTGTAACAGTAGTAATGCAAATTTCGTTTGAAGCGACCATGCCCTCTAGCTACAAAGACCACTGGCTCTTGTAAGATCTAAACCTCACGCCTTTTATCCATAAAAGGTGCGAAGCTAATGCTTACTATCATGAAATAGTTTGGGTTACCAGAAATACTATCAAGTTTTATGTCCTAGTTTTATTTTGGGGTGTCCCTAACTTCTCGATATAGAACAAATATATCCTTAATAACATGTTAAATTTTGTTTTCTCGCTATGTTTGCGTTTTTGCTTTATTTCAATCGTAATTCAGTAACCATGATGATACCAAAATATCTTTGTTCCTTCATTGTTTTTCAGTGATTTGGTTAATGGATTGATTCTTCTGATGAACAGTGATTTCTCCCAACCAGTTAACATAGTAAGTATAGGTAATCACATGATTTCGAGTGCAATTTGGAATAAATAAGCACGAGTAAATTTTTTCAAAGACTAACAAAATTGCATGAGCCCGTAGGGCGAGTACAATTTGTGGTCTGAAAAAATTTACAAGTGCTTATTTATTCCAAATTGCACGAGAAAATCATGTGATTATCTATTAATAATATACATGAAAAAATACGAGGTAGCTTCTCATAACTACGCAGAAGAAAAGCGCGCGTATCACTTGCAAAAATAATTTATTCAAACCCTGCAAGTGACATTGACGTTGACATAGACCTTGACATTGACATTGACCAATCATTCTGACCAATCAGAATGTCTGGTTTGTTTCTTTCTTTGCACTGAATTAACCCTCTTCTGCACTGAATCAACTGAAAACTGCATTCATCTTAACCAATCAGCACTGAGAAATTTTTTCATGTATATTATTAGTTAATAGATAGGATTCCAGTCCAGGCAGGAAGATTTATTCTTGGAAGCCCTAAATCACCTAGATGTTTGTACAACTTGAAAGAGAAAAACGACTTACTATCAGGCGTTTGCAGTACTTAGAATCCCACCATTACTTTGCAGGGAAATCCAGTGGAATACACGATAATGGAGTTTGCGGAAATGATTACTGCAACCGTTGGTAAGTGAAAGATAACTCTGTTACGAGGAATTTACGACAAAAATATTTCCTTGTCAATTCAAACATGACCAAGGAAGTGAAACAGGTAATTGCTTGTAAACTTTCAGGTGGCAAAACAATGATCTCGAATGTTGCAAAGATGGAAGACGATCCACAGAGACGTAAGCCAGATATCTCTCGCGCCAGAAAACACCTTGGTTGGGAGCCAAAGGTATGATTAATCAACATTGATAATCTTATGTCTGCATGACACTGAAAAGCAGGCACATTGGGAGTTGAGCGGAAATCAGAGATTCGGAACTTCGGTGACAGCATATTTTCAGATTTTTTTTAATTGATTTCTTTATTGGTTTTTGCACTGAAAAGAAAAGGCGCGAGTGCGCCTCTGCTCTTTATTTTGCATTTTTAAAAGTTCGCGTTTGCGTACCTTATGAAAGCTTGCTTTCCTTATTTGTACTCTAGATCTTCGTTTCGAAGCGGCGGCGACCACGGTTTTCGCGCCAAACCGCTACTCGGATATAGACCGCAAAGTTATGATGTGGGCTTATGTTAACGTCCCCTAAATAACACTTTACCTCTAACGCTCTGGAGTACAAGGGCGCGACCAGTATTTTTTACAAGGGAACTCATAATATCCTACACAAGGTCGAAGAGTTTCCAAAACGGGATGTGCAAGAACTGTGAGAAGAGGTTAACGGACAAAAAAAAGAAGGAATGACTGAGGAGATTGAGTTTAACAGAAAGTGCCAAATCATTTCAACGTTTCAGGTTGTCCATTTACTTTCTGTGGTAAGGTTTGAACTGAAATTGATTGACGAATGTTGCATTGAGAAATATTAGAGACAAAACTGAAGAAAAACTGATGGCTGAGATATTTATGTTTGTTACTTTGTCTCGTCAGGTGCCTTTGCTGGTTGGCCTCAATCGAACAATTGAATATTTCAAAAAAGAGCTGGAAAAATCCAAGAAATCCAAGTTAATTGACCTGTAGCGACTCGAGAAGATTTTGGCGTTGTATTCACAAAAAGAGCTTCTTGCTGTTGTATTTAGCCGAGAAATAGCCAACTATGGCGTGATGACGAAGTTAACCACACTGACAGAGACTTCCGTTAGGTCACCTGACTCACTTCTTGTAAGGACAGCTGAACTTGAAGAATTTCTTGGTCCGACAACATCGCATAGTAAAGATAATGAAATAGAATTTTTTGTAAACCTTGGGCCCCGTGATTTTACAAATCGAAGCACCACTTAGAGATATGGAAGACGCATGCGCTGTTTGGTTCCGGAAAGATAAGTGAAGAAGGTTGTTGATGGTGTCATTTTGTATCTGTTTTGTACCTCATACGTGAATTATTTATCGTTTTATTTATTAGTTTTTTAAATTCAACGAGTGATCATGAGTTGGCTTTGGTGTAGCTCGGAAGATTACTTTTAAGTAAATATATCTTATTAGACGTTTTGTTGTGTAGTATCGCTGAGTATTTTTACGAGTCAAAATACAATTAACGAGTTAAAATACTCAGCGATACTACACAACGAAACGTCTTATGAGTTGTTATTATCCAACGCGCCAAACTGTTATTTCAGTGCGGGCGAATTTCGCGGATATTTTTTTACGGGGAGTGCGTGACAGAAGTATGCGAAGCGCAACGGAATTGGCGCGTTGTTGTGTTGTTGTTTCTATTTTCTTCTTTAAATGAAGAAAATTTCTGGTCGTCAAGCTGTTTTTCTTCGTTCGATTCATCTAACGAACTTGGATCTATATTTGCCAGCCATTCTGACTCTTCGTCGTCGGAAATATGATTCAAATTGTCCGCCACTTTTTTTTTTTCGTAACTACAATCCAATTCTTCGCTTATGCGATGCGAGAAAACCTGTTTAACCGGTACTACAACAGACGAGTACAAATTTCGCGTGATATTTGTACTCGTCTAAGTGTAGTTGGATAATAATCAGCGATACTACACAACAAAACATTTTAAGAAGATATCTATCCCAGTCTTCTTCGCACTGGTTTTTTTTTTTTTTTTTTTTTTCTTTTTTTTCATGTCACGCAACACGCGCGTGACTGACGTCAACTCTCACCATCCACACAACTAAGAACATGTTCCTGCGTGTGAGGTGTATTCCAATTTTGTACTCTGGTTTACTTTTGTTTTGCGATTCGTAATAAAATCGCTCTAGTAATCAATTTTTAGGCTGCGCCCAGGTCGCAGCTGTTTTGTTGTAACGTGAATAGATTGAATAAATTCGTACATCGTAGGGGTTCGGCACCGAATCCTAAAACCTAGCCAGTTGAAAGAATGGTATTTTAGTTTCCAGAAATGACCTCATCTACGCACCACTACTGAAACAGTAAATGGACACCTGCTAGCTCTGCCAGTACTGAATATAGAGCAAATTCTTTATTCCGGCTCCGTTTAATCGAAGGGCGGAGAACGCCACCCACTGGATAACTCCCTCTCTGGTTGATGGTACAGTTCGGTTTGGTGACATCCGCTGGAGAGCGATTTATCTGTTGGATCGTGTTATCCGCCCTTTGAACTACTGGGCCCTGATTAGCAACCTGAATGTGACGCTTTGTGGCCTGAATTGGTTTACCCCTTAAAGGAAGAGGGGATGAGTCCCCTACTCTTCAGGTTATCACCTGCTTGTCGCTCTTCGTGCCTGTTTTTGAGTTTTTAGTGATCGCTTGAAGAAGACCTCAGCCCCATGCTTCAAAACAACATTGATTAACAAGAGAAAAATCCTTTGGCTATAAATGAAGCAGCAGAGTCGCAAGACGCAGCAGCCTAACGTCCTGAGGACATTCAAAACAAGGTTATAACCTTAAGTTCATTGAATAAATTTTACACTTTTTGGCATGTTTTTATTTTCAGCTCTTATATGGTGACCAGACGATTGATGTCGACTTTCGCTCCAATTGGCTGCCGTGATCACTTAAGGCACTGTTTATACGGACGCGGTTTCATTTGTAACCGCATCGGTTTCGATGCGGCTACGCCTTTCGTTTACACGACCATTGAAACTGTATCGTTTTGAAATCACTCCACTTTTGAAATCGTTTTCAGAACGACCCGGTTCTGATGACAAACTCGACCGGTGCCGTGCAAACGAAAGGCGTAACCGCATCGAAACCGATGCGGTTACAAATGAAACCGCGTCCGTGTAAACAGAGCCTAAGTTTTTAATTCCGAACATCAACTAAAAACTTCTCTAAGAACGAAGAAATTTGAGGAGCCAGCGAGTACACAGCAGCAAATAAGTAACCGCATCGTAACCCGGCTCGTAAACCTCACTCCTTAGAGAAAAGATGCACGTACGTTTTAATTCAAGCACCTCCTTCGTAGAACTCCACTTTCAATCGAGGTTCAAAGTTACCAAGTATTGCATCCGTTCTGCTTTACTTCGCGCTGTGATTGGTCAAGAAAACTAGCGCCATCATCACGACCAATCAAATGTAAACCTAACACCAATCACGAAAAGAGTTGCTGTCTCTTTGTTCTTATCTCGAGTTCTCATTCGCTCCTTAACTTCTTATCCCCTTAAAGAGTGACTAACATCCTATTTCTCCTTGTCATATTACCCCTGAATCAAATATTAAGGCGACGAGATACAAGAAATAATCACCAACCAAAGAAGCTCTCGATTGTTAAACAAACCGCCTTGTTAGTACATTTGGAAATGTAACGGGAACAGCTACCCCAGGGCAGAGAATATGCATACTGGTGTAAGGATGAAAAGGGTTCAGATATTTTTGAGGGGTCTCTGTTAGCCGTGTGATTAGTTCGGTTGTGATTATGCGACTTGAAATCAAAGTTCCCAACTGCCTACATCAAACAAAACAAAAAAATGCTCTGAACATCTCTTCTTCTCAACCTCATTCCCACGGTCTTTCATCTTCCCGCCCCTTCTCTTCCTCCAGGGGTCGGGAAGATGAAAAGTGACAAAAATGACAACTCGTCCGTTTTAAGACCGGTTTTAATTGGTATAGAACAGGTATAAGCTGGAGAATTGTAGCTACTATACCTGTAATGCAATTCTCTACCAGATGTAGGAACTCAGTAATTACAATTCCTACTCTCAAAATTTAAATTATTTGATATTATTAATGAATATCTTGAAGATTTTCATATCGACAACGAGGATTCTATGAAAACTCAACTCATTTTTGACCATCCTCAAAAGCGCTACAATAATATTGAATAAAATTTACAGAATAGATTACTAGGAAAAAAAAAAAAAACTAAAACGCAATTATTTTGTTACTGTACATGTTCCAAACACAATTAACGAAAAACCTGAAAGTCTCCGTCACCGAAATTAACCAATAAAAAATAAAAATTTGTGTAAAAAATAAACTCTAAAGAATTTCTGACCGCTTTATTGTCTAAGCTGGGTAATCGTAGATCGACAGTTTCAGTTATGAGTTTCTTGAGCTGGCTTCTTTTGAGGCCAGAATTAGAGGAACCAGGCTTGCCAACGGCTTGGCTTGCTTTAAGAATGGGTGCTGAAACAGATACGAACCAAAACAATGAGTAATCGACCAAATCGGAAGGTAAAATAGAAGTGTAAGGTAAAGGTAAACTCTGTTTATGAGCCAAGTGGCCCATCAGACCGGCGCGTATTTCCGGTTCCGTAGCATGAAGCGACTTGGAATATTTCTACTCCCCCTTGCATTTAATTCCCCGTATCCCTTTCAACATAATTTATGGGTGAAGAGGGGCACTGTGAGAGTAACGTGTCTCGCCTAAGAACAAAACACAATGTCCCCGGCCAGGGCTCGAACCCGAACAACTTGATCCGGAGTGGAGCGCACTAACCACGAGGCCACCGCGGCTCCCTAAAATACACATAGAAATGTGGGTTGAGCCAAAATAGCAGCACACAAGTGTAGCAAGTGTGTCCACAGTATTACAAACAACAGACCTACAAATAAACACAGACAGCAACAGGTGAATACAAACAGACAAGAGAACAGGCAAACAGACAATTGAGAGAGTAGAGAAGGTTACATCAGCTGACGAATAAGATAAAACAGATACTAGCAGGAAGGCGGACACACAGCCAGACAGACATGTACGCACTGTCAAATGTTCAAGCTAGATGAAATACCATTAAGCACTCTACCTGGAGTAGCTCTCTAGCACCAGTTCTTTTATCTACATCCATTTCCAACGACTGTGCAAGGAAATCCTTAAAAACTGGAGATAATTTATCTGGATGTGCTAGCTCTGGAGTGCCATTTGTAGCTATCAAGTACAAAGCCTACAAAATGAAACAAGGTTAAGTCAATCACTTATGTCTTATGGCGAAGGAAATAAGTGAAATCCTAGAAAAAAACTGTTCTTTCAGCGTTCGATCGTTGATCCACGGAACTTGCTGAATCTTTTCAAAATCACCTTTAAAATCACCTATTTTGCATCGAAAAGAAGCCAAAGTCAAAACTTCTTCCTGTAAACTACAGTTTACATGAGCTTATTGCTTTGATTCACTATATGGAATAAGTACATACTACATAAATGAACAGATTGGCTAACTCAGAAGTAAATATCAAGCATTATTCACCTCAAAGCAGCCTACGAGACAAAACTGGGTGTCACAAGTTTCATTTCCAACCATTTTTTTGGTATGTCGAAAGAAATAACTAATTTTTGGTATCCGTGTGGTATAGACTAAAACGATCATTCACCTCAGTGCTGGTGAAAACCTTGCCACTTTGTAAATACCCACCACTACTCCCCTTCACTTTGGTTTAATTATTGCCCAATGGTTATACAGTATTCTGAGGTCTGAAGTCTGTAAGAACTAGTCTGAACTAGAAATACTTACCCTGAGAGGATTTTCATTCAAATATGGTGGTTCACCTTCAACCATTTCAATTGCCATAATTCCTAAACTCCAAATGTCCACCTGTAACATAAGTGCAAAAATTACAACACAAGTCATCCCATGGAATGTGAGCAACAGATATCAAAAATTGTTAAGTTATTACATGTTTGAAGCTGAAATGATCTCATAAGAGAATGTACAGTTTAATAATAAACTTGGTATTGTATGTCAAGAGTACAAAATGCCCCTCTAAAGATGTTATCTTGCTTGCTTCATACATCACACAAAATGCATCCAGTAGCTATCCTAAGTTGACCCAGTTATAGAATTCATAGGATTTGTTGAGGTAATTATATGATTTTGAGTACAATTTGGGATAAATCAGCACAAGTAAATTTTTCAGTGGCATGGGAAATTGTTGTAAATGCTGATTTGTCCCAAAATTGTCCAAGAAAAAAATGTGATTACTGGTTAATAATGCAAGCAAAATATGACTGTTGAATTTCCTCTTTAGTTGCTTTTATTCCTTGTCGTGGCTCAATAGATCAGCCGCTTCCTTTGCCTTATTGCTGAGCTTTTTCCTCAAGGACTTGTTTCAAACTATTTCACTCTCTAACATGAATAATCAAGCATATGTACTCTGCCTCTGTTTGGTATGTGCAACAGCAGTGATCATTACATGAAAGCTATCCCATTTGTTTGAACTGGTGCATAAAACTCCTCAATAATTTTATCTAGGGCCTCCAGTTCACACTTTCATAGCCATCTTTGGAAGCCTAAGACCTTCAGACTTTCAGCCAGCTATTTGGCTCT